CTCTCTCTCTATATATATATATATATATATATATATATATATAAATACATGTATATCTATCTATATATAACATACATACATATATATCTATATATATATATAAATACATGTCTATCTATATATATAAATACATGTATATCTATCTATATATATATATATATATATATATATATATATATATATATATATATATATATATAAAATAGTTAAGAATATCATTTTCTTTCTGGCATAAGCATATTGGGATACACTTATCTTCAGGAACATCTGAAAAATTAGTATTTCAATAAATAGATTTTAAGAGAGGTTGCTGTAGATTACCATTAAATACAAATATATGTTAAGAAAATATCTGTATACAAGATTAATGGTTATGAAGTCCTGACATTAATGAATGGCTATATTATTATTTTGATATTTTCTTAAATGCTTTCTTAATTTAATATATTTTTATAAACTAAACTAGTAATGACTGATGAGATATTACATATAACATCTTTATTAAGTCTGTTTTTATTAACTATCATATTTTTCCATGTGTATTATACACTTTTTTACGTTAAAATTTAATATCGACATCTACTTGCATTCTTTACATCAAATTGTTAATATTATATATATATATATATATATATATATATATGGTTTAGTTCACTTGAATGTGTTATTTATAACAATAGTATGCATTTCAAATGTGAAATGCACATCACCAATCAGAGTGCTTAATGCAGTTAAAGTCCATTTCTGCCTAATTGATATTTCAATTTTTTTCATTGGATACTCGGCAAATCTGTTTTCAAAATAACAATGCATTTCATACACTGATACATCTTATATTCAGAAAAATACACTATATTACAGAAAGTATAAAGTTATTTTTGATCAGATTAATTTTTATTAACTTTTGATGTGAAAACAACTGTAAAGTGACAAATCTTTTGTATATGAATGAAAAAGTATCTATATTTTCAATAGATTTATGAACTACAGAAGCAATGGATTATATTTCTTTTCGTACATACTCTAAGTGGAAATTTCTGTTCATGAAAATCACTGAACAAAATGATTACTTTTAATTATCATCTTTAATTTTGAAGTAGCTGGATTACCTGATGCTTGATTTCTATGATGTGCAAACATTGTAACTATAAGGTTATTTTTTCCATGAGTCTCTTTGCTTTCTACTTTTGTAGATTTACTGGAATTACCTAGAAACAATTATATTTTTAATTGGAAAAGTTTAAAGTGCAAAAATCACTTATAAAATATTGTCTTAAGTTCAGACAAAATATGACATCAAAGGGAGATAATTGCAAAAAGCCCCAGATATAAATGAGTTATTGCTGTCAATCATGACAGCCAGGAGTTGACATGAGTTGCACATAAAATATGCTTGCAAATATTTATCATCAGAAAAAACAAAACAAATGTTCAATAAAAAAATTATCAAAATAAATTTAAAAAAAACAAAACAAATACAAATATAATGTAGTTTATACCTATTAATAACTTTGTGGTGTAGAGAAAATTTAAATCATTATTAATAATAAAATTCTACCTGTATACAAAATGGAAAAATTTATCCAAAGGTAAACATTTTTCATTCATATTTAAAGAAAATTGTAAAATTGAAAGTTTTATGCATATGTACACATATATACACATCTTACAGCCACATTATGTTGAAACATTGGTTCCTATATGATCACTGAAGTTAAGCAACATTGAACTTGGACAGTAACTATATAGGTGACTATTTGGGAATACCAAGTGCTGTAAACTTGGATGTGCAGGGAGGGTAATGTATAATGTATAATTGTTAATGAGAAAGGAAAGTTCCAATTTCAGTTAGGTTTGTTATATTCACTTACCTTGGGAATGGTATGAATCCCCTTCTTCTCCTCCTAGTTATGGGTTAATTAGTAAGACCTGCATCACTAAACCATTATTATCTGCCCAAACAATTCTTACAATCTAAAAAATATTTTCTGGTTTTAAATAGCATGCAAAGAGTTGATAATCCATAAAAAATTAATCCATTCAATACAAAAAACACATGCATACAAGGTGCTGAAAAGTTCTTGGCATAACCAAAAAACTCTTTGCAAATGTAATCTGATGTTTGGTCAGCCATTTTAAAAAGGGTGACATCAAGAAATATATATATATATATATATATATATATATATATAACTAGGAACATATTATAAAGAAACTCAAAGATATTCAGTAGAATTTTTTTTTATATTTTATACATGCTCGATACTGAAAAGTAGAGAAAAATTTATTCAATAAACTCAGCCTCAAAAATGATCTTGATACTTCCTTTGAAGTGACTGGATGTACATGAAAAAAATTTTTGAGTCCTGAAGGAATACACAGTCTTTCAATTTAGTGTCTGGCCACTATACCTAGTGCCTCAAATAAATGATAGCATTGTCTCTTAGGCTCTACAGCAAAAAGTGGAGCACAATCATATGGCCTTCATTGTTTAACTTGTACATGTTAATGCTCTTGATACAATTGAAAGAAAAAGTAAGAATGTTAAAATTTGATGCATACCACAGGATCACAGGATATTATATTACATTATATTGTCTGTCATCTATGGCCAGCCAAATGTGTGTTCTCAAATACTGTGTAAATGCCATTTCTATCTGGGCCAGGTCAGTTGATGAAATAGTTGCAAATTTACCTTAGAGACTTGTAGTCAGTGTTTAAATTTTTTAGTTAGATTATTAACACTATACAATCTTGTTGTTTCATAAGTGATGCTATATTAAAATTTGTAGTATCTGTGTAGCATGTGTGTGTATAATGTTGAAATATAATTTAAGTGATTTTTTTGTTGGCAGAAAAATATAAGATTTTAATCTATATAGATTTTTAAAAATTGAAAGCTATTGTACTGTAATGCTAAGATAAAATTTTGTTAAAAACAAAATCAGCTAATGAAAAGTAAAGATGAATTGTTAAACTATTTTATAAGATAGTCCAAATAATTATTTATCCACAATTATTATTATTATTATTATTAGAAAAAAAATTCTTTACTAAATTACATGAGAGTGGCCTAAGAAAATTAAGACACATTTAATTATAAAGATCAAAAGCCTGATGACAAATTAATCTGCTGGAAACAGATGTTGTGATTGTTTTATGTGTTTTGGATGTATTCCTCATCTTTACTTTTCCTTTTATGACGTTCTTTTGAACATTGATGTTTAATCAGTATTCTGTCTTGCTTTGGGTGTTATTTACGTAAATTAAAGAGAGTTTCTATTATTAATATTATTGTCAGTAGCAACAACATCAAAGAAAATCATTATTATCAGGAGAGATAAATCTGTATCAACGAAACTAAAATCCCTGTTCCGACTGTGGGCATTAAAAGAAATAAGACCTAAACAACATATTGAATTCACATTATTCTATATTGACTAAATACTGTTGAAAGTCAACTGAAGACAAATCATAGAGAAGTCTTTTTGAATGAGTCCCATTCATTTAATGATATAGGGAACAACAGAAAATACACCTAATAACCTAGACAGAGCCTTTTGATTTTTAGCTTGGCAACATTTGGACCTAGAAAAATCACCATGATGAAAGAAAAGCAAGCCATTGCATTAGCATAAAGAATCAATGCATTTGATATTGGTAGAACTTTTCTTTTTTATTTCTTACTTTAATAAGTTTTTTGTGCATCTTTTGGAAATGACTAACTTTTTTTTTTTCTTTTGACTGCAAAGATCCAAATGCATAAATAAAGCAAGGTGAAGGAGCAGTTGTTAGTACAATTTCAGTCAATGTACTTGGTATTTATTCCTAATTGTGAGTCTTTATATGTGGGTTAATCTTGAACATTTATGAATCATAACAAAAGATTAGTTTTATCAGCAATAAGGTTTGCCATATTATACTTACCACAGTTTAAAAGTTAAAATGATTGTTACTTGAAATGATGTGTGGCCTTTTTTGAGAGATGTAAAAATTAAAATATATTAAACAGTCACATAAAGTGTGTGTGTGTATGTATGTGTATACAAAGTGTGTACAAGGGGTGCTAAAAAGTTATCAGTCTGACCCACTTAAAAATGACCAAAGATCAGATTCAAGAACTTTTTAGCAGCCCATTGTGCATGTGTATGTGTGTGTGGTGGAGGGGATGAAAAGTTCTCACCCAATCTGCTGATCAAATGACCAAAGATCAGATATACATTTTTAAAGGGCTTCTTAGTCAGGCTGAGAACTTTTCAGTACACCTTTGCACACACATGTGCACACATACACTAAAATTTGGTTAGTTTCCAGTTTCAGATTTCCTTTGTGCATACATTATCTGCATTTGCTTTGTATGTGTATGTATATATATATGTGTGTATATATATATATATATATATATATATATATATATATATGTATATATATTTCTGAGATGAGGTATTGTAATTATTTACGCTACTTACATTCTTCAGACTGTTATCTTCAGCTTTTTTGCTATATTCATGAATATGAAAAAAAAGATAAAAGGAAAAACAGTCTATATATATATATATAATATATATATATATATATATATATATATATATATATATATATATAAAACATAAAGTTTTAATAAAACAGGAAATACAAAGCTGGAATCTCTCCAAATTTTGGTGGTTAATGGTATCATAGATATGTTTCAGGGAAGTAACAACTTTCATTAACTTAGTATCTGTAAACTCTTTTACTTACTGCCATATGTTCTGTCATTTAGCAGTACTTGTAAGTAATTATCATTGTTAGTATGCTTTACTATCATTTATGCATTTGCTTCCTACTATTTAAAATATTCTTAGGTACAGCATGCTTTCTAAGATCCTACCTGACATCTATCACTTGTTATTTCAAGTGTCCTCACATTGTTTCTGTTTTACTTACATTTCTTATTCTGCTGAATATTATTGCTCTTGTTCCAACTGCTACTCATGTGCTTTTCTTTATTTCTTCTGCAGGAAATTGCATCCATTTTGATTGCATTTGATAAGCATAAAGAATGGCAATTACGAGAACTACGAGTCAGGTAAGCAAAGCAATGTTTGCTGCTTTTGTTACGTACTGCCATGCACACTTCATCACAACTACTTTCTCTTTCTTATTCTCTTCAACAACTCATTACAGAATAATCTTAACTGTTCACTTGTTTGTGGATTTATCTCTGAGTTAAGCTGTCAGACAATAATCACTTTATATATAAAACAGGAATTCCTTTTCAAATTCCATGGCATTTGTAGAACAGTTGAGCATTTCATATTTTTCTTTTTCTTTTAGATATTTTTTCTGCAATGACACCTGTATTTTTTTTCCTTTCCCTCTTCCTCCCAAAACAAATCAATCTAAAAATCATTACAGAATTAATATATTATTATAAACTGGTAAAACTGACTTCATGAATTTTAGTTGTCAAACATTTTGATGTAAATATTTAGTCAATTTTGACAGAAAATCACATTTAAGAAACACTCAGATTTAGATTATTTGTGCAATATATCTGCTAGCCGTTTCTCTAGGCCATGTGCTCAGGCATTTTCGAGTATAAAATTTTAAAAAATATAAAAGACCATATAAATTTTATTCAGTGAAAATATTGAAAATCATATTTAATTGCTAAATTTAATATAAAAATGCAGCTACTTTCAAATGAAAGTGTGTGCAAAAATTTGGATTACTACAACATACAAAAAACAATGGTTAAAAATTGGAAAACATAAAAAAAACATAAGGAAAATTAATTCCTTTTAATAATATGTGGAAATAACCACTCTCTGCCTGATGAAGGTCATGAAACCAGAAACCTGTGTAGCAAAAATATGGAAAATAAAGTATAATATATATTAAAAAAATCTACATTATAAGCAAAAACATTTGCAGCTTCTCTCTTCTCTTTAAAATATACACTTTTCTCTCATTGGAACAACTATAACCTCTTTCTTATTTTTATATATATATATATATATATATATATATATATTGTTGTTATTGGTGGAACTTGTTGCCGGCCGAGTATTGGGGGTGCTCATCGACATTTCCTTCTGTGTCTAATGAGTCCTATGTTGGACCTGAAGAGATGTCTGCAGCCACTGCATGGTAGGGTAGGAATTTTCAGGGGATAGAGAGCTCTGGCTTTTCTTTAGACTCTTTTCCTTTGTTCTACAGAGTGCGATGGATAAATTGTCGTCTAAATTATGAAAAAATGAAAATATGTTATACTGACATCTCAGTTTAACAGATATATTTACCAAAATCAAACAGAAATATTTTGAAATGCTAAAGATTAAATTTATTCAATAAAATTGCCATTGATTTCAACCATGTCCTCCAGACAACTTCAGAATCCCTTGCAGCTCTTCTGGATGGTATCCATGTTTAAGTTGGTGAATACTGCCATAATTCTGGCCATCAGTTCATCTTTGGTGTTACAAAGAGTTTTGTTGGGCTCTTTCTCAATTGTACACCACACATCAATGGGGTTGCAGTCTGGGAAGTTAGGTGGCCAGATGTAAAGAGTAAAGTGGTCACAGAAATTGTCTGACACCCATGTCTGGGTTCTCCTCTTTATGTGGCATGGTGCAGAGTTCTGTTGCTAAATATAGGATCTTCCAGCAGCTAGCCTCTTGACATAGAGCAGCACTACTTCTTCAAGGCATTTAATGTAGACCACTGTGTTGAGTCTGAGGTCCTGTGGGAAGATAAATGGAGGCGTAACATTGCCATCACTAGTGATCACTCCAAGCACTATGATGATGACTGAATATTTGGTTTTTAGCATTCTCAGTACATCTTTTGGGGATACAGCAAGTCAATAGTTGTTCTGTGTGTTCACTATCTTATCCTGGAAGAAATTATTCTCATTTGAGAAACACCAAAGCATGTCAGTTAGAGGGGATACTTGAGTTTGTTCAAAAGTTTTGTAGCACAGTCTTTCATCTTTCATGGCTTGGGATAATTTTTATCCCTTTCTCATCTTGTATGAGAAATACTGAATGTTTTCATGCACTGTCTGCCTAATAAGAAACTCAGACACTCCTGTGCCCCTGGCTATGATTCTGATTGACTTGGAGTGACTGTTGTCAATAATGGCCTGGATCTCACCAACAAATTTGGGAGTTCTTATCAGAACAATCTGAGTGAGTTTTCTGGTGTATCTTTGTAATCACCATTAGACTCATCCAATCTTTCTGAATTCTCTACATTGCCCTCAGATTGACACACAAACACTCTGAAATGTTTGTATTGGAGCTTCCGTCATGAATGCCAAGCAGTACAGCATGCTGTTTCCAAATTTCTGGTAGAGTGATTGCATTATAGTGCTCTTTTTCTCACAGATGGTGCCAAACTAACCCTACTATACTGTGCAGTCAACAAAATCAAAAGCAAACAACATACATGCGTGAAATAAAAATATAAAATGGTGACAATTTACTCATCGTACCCTGTATTTGTCTTCTGCTGTTTTTGTACGACGTTGCTTTTTCGTGTAATGCTCTTCTTCTGTTGGTTCTTTCTGCAGGTTCTGTCTCCCAATTGACCAGTACAATATACATATAATTTAAATTAACAATAAACAACTAATGGTCTGAGGTGTCAAACTGACATTCACCATGCAGTGTTAATTCTTATGCCCACATTCTGTGTGTGTGTGTCTCTCTCTCTCTTCATATATATATATATATATATATATACATATACAGAGAGAGAGAGTTTTATGATATGCTATATTTATGGGTAAAATTGCTCAATATCACAGATAGAGCATATATAAATGTAAAAGTGGACACTGAAGTCAACACCAAGAGGTGACTATTCTTGAATGCATATCTAACACTTTCGCCCCAGCCCCTCAACCTCTGACATCTTACTCTCTGGGTTGAGGTGTCTACTCGGTCCTAACCGAACTTAAGGAAGTGGCCGTAGGTCCCCTGAGCATCCATAGATTATTCGACTGGTCCACTGGTTTAATCCTGCTTTCTGCCCACATTGTGTTTGATTTGATCCAGAAAGCAGAAGTGATGTTCATCCATTCACGGTTGACTGAAGATGTAGACACGTCTGGAGACTCTGTGCTAAGAAATTTAGAATGCAACAAAAAAAAAATTAATATCTGCAGAAAGCCGGACAAACAACTATTCAATGATTGAATTGTTAATGTCTTTTATATAGCAGAAAAGAATAGTATAGAAAAGAAATGGGTTACAGAAAAGAAAAGTAGTTGACGTAAAAATGCATACACTGCATTCTGGACAGAGAGAGAGTGTTATGATTAACTTGTTGTTAAATCATCTCAGAACGATATACGACTCTTGCAATGGGGGAATAAGATTTCTGTGCGCGGCTTAAAGTTCATAGTGGCGTTCCTCCTTAGCAGTAGTAACAGAAGTAGTAATATTCATGGTAGCAGAAGCAGCAGTACTTATATCAACAGTACATGTTAGCGGACGCTTCGTTCCAATCTCTGATGTCACTTTCTCTCCTTCTTGAGTCTCTAACTCGACTCTCCACTGTCTCTAGCCCAACTCTTGCCCAGGCTAATTCTCTTCTGTCTCTCTCTTCCGTCTGCTTCTTTTTCAGCATAATTATGCATTTATATAGAAAAAATCCAGCTGGTTACGACTGAACCTTAGCCCTATGATTATCATAGGGTTTTGGCTGTTTCAACCAAAATCATGTGAATTCTAAAGGTCCTTACTCAGTTCTATTCCAAGTTTTAATCAATAAAAATTATTTCGACCATTTCTATTGTCTGCTAATGACCCAGTTCCAATGGGTACAGCTCCTGCCCTAGATCAGGTTTCACCATCAGTAAACAAAAATGCTCTGATCTAATTTCGCTGTTCAAATCCACTCCAATTACACTAAAAAAAAAAATATATGTGTGGGTGTGTGTTTCCCAGACTCTCTCTGTCACACATAGATGTAACCTGAAGATTGTGTTCTGACTGTCGCTACTTAGTGTTAACCTCAGTGTCCACTTATATATGTAGATAAAAATCTGTGGGTAAGTAATCCAAGTGAATTCTATTAATATAAAATATTAAAACTGATCCACAAAATAGAGCTCAGTATATTTATTAGAGAGCATAGAAATGAAATACATAAAAATGAAGCTCAATTGTAATCCATTTTTATAGTTTCTATAGACAGGGTTGACATTTAAATCCACATGGTATGGTGACTCTCAGTTTCATGCCACAAATATCAAGCTTTGAAGATCATTCAAGACATAAAACAAACAGACACTATTGACCTTGTGCCCACAATGTCTATACGCACAGTCTAACTCTGTTACTGAACACTCTTACCTTGAAAATATAATATATTTTAAACAATATAATTCTACCTAATCATATGTATGTGCATCTTTTTGTATATATTAAATTATTATTCAAAACATCAATAAATTGTAATCACTTCAGATATTTATAAAGATATTTATGGATCTTGAACTAATTCAATGGGGAATGCAGGTGGTCTAATGGATAGTGACTTAAAATCAGAAATCTGAGTTTGAATTCCAATTGAGTTTGTTAGATTCACTTATGCACAAATACCCTTGGGAAAGGTAGGAATCAACCTCTTCTCCCTAAATAGCAAGGTGCACTGGGCTTTCTATAGCCATGGTTGGCAGTCAGTCTAAGAGAAAGACAACTCTGAATTCAAAACAGTATGTGACATGACACTTTGATAGACCTTAAATAAGATCTTTATTAGGTTCCAACCAAAGTGCTTCATCAAAAAACAATTCATTGAACAAGAATTGTGCAAGGACCCATTTAATGGATGATGCAATTATTGCATTTTTTATTTACAAATTTAATTAGTTGTATCTTTAAAATATATTAAAATAAATCAATTTCAGCATGTTGTGTGGCTCTTGGTTAAAGCTTTGCTATTTGATGATAATTTAGGTTTTCCAAATAATTGCATTGTTTATATCATCAATTGTTATCCAGATCCTATTTACATGTGAGCTTATTGATAAGTTGGAAAAGTATTACATTCAGAGTCAAGTGAAATACATAGTTA